AGGAGTGCAGGTGTCTTTTCGATTTAGGGATTTTTGTGTCCTTCGGATAGATACCCAGCACAGGCATCATGGGATGGTCCGCTGTATTTTCTCATTATTTCACAAGACAACATCACCTTGCAGGCTCTGTCCATTATTGTCACCAAAGCTCGGACGATACGCCCCAGGCTGCCGGAGCCCCGTCATCTAAGGGGAACGGACATTCTTTCATCCAAATCCAAACCCGTTAACCACATGGGCAAAAAATGAAGTGGGGTGGCCATCGTCATTAAAGCAAGAACATTCGGGTGCCAAAACCCAAAACTGAAAATGCAAGCAAAACTGAAAATCCTAAAGATACGTATGCTACCTGGGTTTTATCACACGCTGTTTCCGAGCCCCCAGCTCGTGAGGCAGGATCGCAGGACGGTTCCGGGGCCAACATGTCTCCTGGGTCACCAGATTCTCGTCCAACAAAACCCACGTGTGGGCAACTCTCTGGAAAACCTGATGCTTACCCTGGTGGCAGGACTAGGTTCCAGAGAACGCCACCGTTCAGCTCCCTGATTTAAAGCCTCACCTGACGCGGGGAGAGAGGTGGGGCTCACCTGGGACACAGCCCAGAGGCCACTGCAGAATCAAAAGCCCTGGGTGGGATGTGCACAAACCTTCCGGGGGCTTCCATGCCCTCCGGAGCATGAGAGCCACCCCCCCATCTTTACGACATCATGCGTGAGGAGAAGAGAAACACTATTTTTTTGTGCTCTTTTTGAGGCTTCGCGGTGATTCCACGTTCTGCCGGGAGGATCTGTGTCCACAGTTCTAAAGTCAATAAGAAAATCCGGAGCTTTGTGTGTCTCGCAAATTTTGGCCAACGAGCTATGACTCAGGATGGTTTTGCGTGCGTGCTGAGCTCCAACAAAGACTGTGTTGCACGAAAACGTCCCACATTGTATTGTGCACCCATTCTGGAGTGTGCGTGATACATAATAACGTGCACAGGATACAAAACACACAATATGTGTGGCAATCGGGACGATGTGCAGTAAGTGCTCTATGGAATGGTTTCCACATCCCTTGTAACATCAACCAGTCGGGTTTATGAGTAACTCCGCCGCATCCCTGGGACATAGAAGAAATATTCTCTTTTCTAAACCCGAATGTGTTGGTCTGAACACGGATTTTCCCCAGCAAATTCCATCATGATCCCATGTGGACATCTTATATTTCGTCCCTACGGCCAGTCCAGGAGGGGCTGTGGGTTTTCACACCAGAGGCAAAGCCTCAGAGGGGTTCAGACACCGCCTGAGGTCACACAGCACAGCCCAGGGGCTGGACAGCAAACCACGAGGCTGCTCACGTTCCTTGAAGGTCTGGCCATTCTCAAGGCAGGTGGACAGAGGGGCAGCCCTGTCCGCAGAGTAAAGTCTTTCCTTCCGCCTTCAACTTGCCCGTGGAAACGTCCCCTCTTCCTTTTCAAGTGCTCTGGGGGGGACACAGGGTGCTCAGTTGCAGCTGGGGTGGGGGCCATCCTCAGCTTTCAACCTGTCATCCGTGCCATGGATCATGATAACCACCGCGTGGGGGCAGGGACAGCTCAGGGAGGGGGTGGGCCCCAGAGTTGGGAACGAGATGCAGACGAGGGGACAGATAGCATCTGTGACTCATGACCGTTCTCGAGAACATCCGCCCGTTTGGGCTATGGGTTCTCAGGCCGCATGTGAGACCCAGTGTCAGGCCCGCCCCGCACATCTCAAAGTAGAGGTGCGGAGAGCCGCGGGGGCGAACAAGAATGCATGACGTGTGCAAACCCGAGGGCTTGGGGTGCGTGTGGGGGTTCCCTGTTCCGAACGCATGTCTTGGGGACCCAGTGATGGTTTATAAATTCTGGGTTTGGGGAGGCATTCTGTGGGATGGAGGGGTCCGCACTGAAGGAGGGGGAGCCCAGGGTCTGTCCCCGGGACCCCCAGCAGCAGAGCTAGTCTGACGAGTTAGGAGGGGGGCATGTGAATGAAGCTGCAACAATCCCAATGAAGGTCCCAACGCCCGAACCCTGGATCTCTCCATGACGCCAGGCCCCACGGGCCCTGTGTAGACCTCCTGGTGGAAAAGGGCCATGTCCCCCCAAAACCAGAGCCCACCAAAGGGCAGGACACAGGGTCCCCTGGGGCGGCGTGCACCTGCAGGGCATGCCCGACGCTAAGTCCAGGGCCCAGAGGGATGTCAGCACTACGAGAGTTAATATTTGGGCCTCAGCGCCAGTCCTGAGTGGGGCCTCATGAGCACCCCCCAACCGCGGATTCACCTTTGTCCATTGAACTGTGTGTAGGCGTGTCCTGGGGGTACCACCTGAAACCAGGGCTTGGACAGCGGAAACTGATGCCCCCGGAGGACCCTTCCTCAGCTCCCCAGGCCTCTGTTGCAGCCACTGTCTGAGCCACCTGTTTGGGGTAACTTGTTACTGTAGCCACAGGGAACCCATGCAGGGCATTGACAAAGACGGGGATAGCACTCTACAGATTATCTCCCCCTACATCTGGTCACCTCCAATATCTGGTCAGCTGGATATCTGGTCACCTGAATGTCTGATTGGGTTCCTCATCTTCTACCACCCTCAATATCTGGTCACCTGGATACCTGGTCACCTGCATACCTGGTCTGGATATCTGCCTACCTGGATAGTTGCTCACCTGGATATCTGGTCATGTCAGTATGTGGTCATCTGGATACCTGGTCGCCTGGATATCTGAGTGGGTTCCTCATTGCCCGCCCCCTCCCCAGGTAACACTGATCACCCTGCTCTGCCTTCAGCAGGAGTCCTGAGAGATCAGTTTAGCCAGAATCCCCCCGATCCCTGATGCTCCTCCTGATAATTATCCGTCCACAAACCCACCTGCCCCTTGGCTGTGAACCCCACTTGCCCACGCGGTATTCAGAGCTGAGCTGGGTCTCTACCAAGGTCTCCTAGCCTCTGTTGCAACATCCCTGAATGAAATCTGCTTTTACCACTTTAACTACTGTCCCATTATCTCTCTCTCTCCTTTTTTTTTTTCTTAACACGTAACACTGAAACCACGCAACTGACAGTATGAGGGTGCTTAGCACCATGCATATCTGTGAACGGGCAGAATTGGGTCTGAGAACTGGACCCGGGCTTTACTGTCACATAGAGGGGTTGGTGGGGAGAAGAGCTGAGCTGGGGTCTTCCTCCAGCACCTGGAGGCTCTCGATACCAACCAAGCAGTGAGTACTTGACCACACATCGTGGCGAGGCCGTGACTGTGTACGTGTATGTGTGCACGCAGACCCAGCACTCACGTGCAGAAAGCCCATACTCTCTTCTGCACTCATGTTCCTTTGAAGGGGGGGCCCTCCCAACCCAGAAGCCAGGCTTGTCCTCCTCGGCGGACGCCACCACCCACACCCCCTGCCCAGCGTCGCACGGTTCATAATGACTTGCGTAAAGTTCATGTTCCCTAATAAAATAAGCGCCACGAGTGCTGGATTCACACCTGCTTAAAAGTCGTGTTTGGACCCAGCTCCACCCGCAGGCCGGAGTGACGCTTGAACGCGGGTGGCCGTGAGCCCCCGAATGCCAGGCCACGTGCACTGGGGCATCACCAGCCCGTGAAACAGAGGCAGCCGTAAAACCTGCTTTCCGTGTGATAAAAACAGGCTGCTCAGCATCACTGGAAAATGCACGGTCCCCCGCCTCTGGTCCATGTGTCCACTTACCTCCCTTCCCACATGAGCAGGTACTAAATCCACGTGAGCAGGTGCTAAATGTGGCATCCCGGGAACCCATCCCGGCGAGGATGAGCACAATGCTTTTAACAAATAAGCAAGTGACGCACCTGCTTCTCGAAGACTGTCCTGCACGTGACAGAGACGCATCTCTCGGGTTTCTTGCTTTGGCTGGTGCAGGTCTTGGGAGCGTCTTTCCAGTGCAAAATGGTGATAATTACGGGAAGAGGAAACAGAGGGTGCGTGTGGGTGCACAACCATGGGTTCCCTGGCACCTCACCTCTGGGTCACCCTCATGGTGCAGGGTTTATGTTTCTTAACCTCACCTCTTCTTTTGATTAAATGGGAGCTGTTACGGGTTGAATTGCATATCCCTAAATCCATATGTTGACGCCATAGCCCAAGATCTCAGAATGAGGCTTTATTTGGAGATTGGGTCTTTAAAGAGGTAATTAAGGTAAAATGAGGTCAGTAGGGTGGGCCCTGATCCCATAGAACTGGGGTCCTTATAAGAAAATGGGATGAGAACACAGACACGCGCAGAGGGACGACCATGTGAGGCCACTGGGAGAACCCAGAGTCTACACGCCCAGGAGAGAATCCTCAGGAGAAACCTGCCTCGGCCCCACCTGGAGCTCACACAAACAGCCTCAGCCCCGCCCGGATCTCAGACTCCCAGCCCCCAGACTGAGAGATGAATACCTAGTGTTTAAGTCTTCCCGTATGGGGTATTTCTTCTGGCCACCCTAATATACGAGGGGAAGGCCTCACTGGCACCTGGCTCCAAACTGCAAACCCACCTCCATCCTAGAGAACAGAGAAAACTAGCAATTGCCTTGGACAACGTGAATGGGTTGTATGGTTTGAGGTTATGAAAACGGCAAGATTCTGTCTTTGCAATCTCTTAGCGGGTTGCCTGTGAGACACGTTATGTTCTGGTTTCCTGCACGTTCAGGGATAAAGCTCTTTTCTTTCCATTCTACCTTCGTGGAGGGGCTTTCTGGGCAGGGGAGAGGTTTTCTGAGGTTCCATTTCCCCAACACACACACACACACACACACACACACGGACTCCAAACTTATTTATTGCAGCCGGCAGGGGAGAGGGAGAAGGTACACCCAGCGCCAGCCCAAAGAACCACAACCTCAAGAATCTAAGAACATCCCATACTCGAAGCCCAGGGGGATAAAATTGGTAGTGTTCTCCGCTGTCTACACAAACACCAACAACCTACTTAAGTCTTAGTAAAACTCGTAAGCCAACGTCCTTTTGTCTCTTTTATTTTCATTCACAAAATAAAATGTGAGCCGCCCTCAAGGGCAAGATGCTTAGGGTGACCGCGTACGGCATTGTAACGTTCACTATCTCTGGAGTAAATGCCATGAGTGTGGACGCCAAGAAAAATGGAGTCTCCTGAAGAAAACGCCCACCACCACCACCACCCCCCCGTGCTTGAAAAGTGGGTGTTTTTCTGTCTCAGAGCAGAAGCTGGGTGGCTGGTTGGCATCTGCCAAGCAGGATTCCTTTCCCACCCAGGAGCAGCAAGTTCTGCTTGCTGGGTACAAAAGAGCAGGGAAACTGTTCGGGGAATGGAAATGTTGGTTGGGGCACGGGTGACGTGCATGGAGGAGGATGGTTTCAGGGCACCCTGGTCCTGCTTCCTCACGATTTATGGGAAAACATCAGCCACAAGGAGGTGTGAGCTGAAAGCAAGAAACACTCCAACACACTGTGCCCCATCTACGGTGAATCTGCCTTCGGGCCCTTGAGTAGCAATGTCCATGGGATGAAAGCTGACCCAGGGGGTGCACGGGTTTGGGGTCTTCAGTGACAAGCCCCTCTGGACACGGGCCATGTCCATGTTCCCTTTACCATGGTGTTGAGTCCCCGAGATGCTCCTCCTTGATCCCATAACGTCAACATAGACCCCACCGTTGGCTTTTGAGTTTGCACCCCCTCATAACATGATGTATGAGTTGTCACTCATCACAAACGTAAAGCCCCCAAGAGAGACCACCTCGCCACCTTGCAGGGGCCGGCAAGGGAACTGGCTGGGGTCCCTGGAGGCCTCTTCCTCCTCTGTCCGTGGGCACAATGGGGTGGTCATCATGATGGGCGTCTCAGCCTCATTCTTCACCAGGTGGACAACTAGGGCCTCTTCCAGGACACACTCCTGCTCAGCACCCTCCATCTTATTCAAGTGGGCCACGTTCTGGGTGTCCTTGATCCACTCCTGCAGGGATGAAACATTGCATCCTGAAACCAAGGAAATGCCTCGTGGCTGGTGCCCCCTGACGGAGCATCTCTGGGACCCAGGCAGCCTCCCTCGGGTGGGAACGCCAATCCCAGGGGAAAACGCTCGTGTTCTTGTCTGACACCTCTGAGCTAACCCCATGGTGCTTTTTTGACCTGCCTTTTATCATCAGCCTTGAAGGCTATTTGCAAAACCTCTGTGGCCCCGTAAACATGTTAGGACAAGGAACACGCCTTCTGCCACGTGCTTCTGAAACTCGGCTGTGTTTGCAAGTCGCCCGGCGTCTTGTGAGCGGGATGATCACTCAGCGGGTCCAGGTGGGCTCCGGAAGCTGCAATTCTAACAAGCCCCCTCGATACTGGCCGGGGGGGCGGGGCGCGCCTGGGACAGGGGGCTCTATGGGACTCATTGCCAACAGGGGGAGTGTCCTTGGCACGTGTGCCCAGCCTCCCCCATCTCCTTCTTCATTTTTTCTGCCCTGAAAACTCTTTTCTAATTCTCTCCCTTCTCCTAGAAAAGGATCAGGACACCACCACCCCTCTCCCACCATAAGGCACTTTGATCAAAAGATGATTTTGAGCTGAAGGTGATTGAAAAGGACAACCGTGGGAGGAGCTCTCTGCCTTCCACCTTTCTGCACAAAAGCCTAGGCATAAGTTTCCCTTTAGTAAAGATTTCCACTTGCTAAGGTGTCCCTACAACTGCAGAGACAGCCCTGGTCACCCCAGAGGGCTTCAGTCTGCGTAACAAACCTTAGTCGACAACCTTCACGGTATCATCCTATCCGCTTCCCACATCACACCTGCCACCCAGAGGCCCAACCCTCCCTTTTCCTCTGCCCCGTCACTTCTCCAAACTTTATCATGCTTCGTTCAAATGGCACAGGAGCCCCCGGGTCTAACCACCTCTTTGGGGTTTTCACTTCTTTTCTGCGAACCTTCCTCCACCCTCATGTGCATATGAAATAAACTTTTTTCTTCGTTAATCTGTCTTTTTCATCTGTTTAATTTGCAGGCCCTGAACACAGAAACTAAGAGGGTAGAGAGAAAAAAAATTTCCCCCGTTTTTTGGGGTTTTTTTTGTTTTTTTTTTTTGTTTGGTTTTTTTTGCCTTCCCCTGCGTCTAAGTAGTTTTGAAATTAAACTTGCTCCTGTAGGAGGTGAAATGGTACACACCCGTCCCAAAATAAAGATATGTCCAATCCTCAAACCCCAGAACCTATAAATGTATACTTATTTGGAAATAGCAACTTTGCAGACGGGACTAACGAAGGATCTGACATGAGACCATCCTGGATGAGAATGGCCCTAAATCCAATGACAAGTGTCTTTGTAAGAGACAGAAGAGGAGACACACATACAGAAGAGAAGCCACGTGAAGACAGACAGAGATTGGGGGGGACGTGGCCACAAGCCCAGGGACACCTGCAGCCCCAGAAGCTGGAAGAGGCAGGAAGGACCCTCCCATGGAGCTTCAGGAGGGAGCACGGTCCTGCCCCGCCTGGATCTCAGCGGCCCTGCCCCGCCTGGATCTCAGACTGCCAGTCTCCAGAACTAGGAGATGATTCATTTCTGTTGTTTCAAGCCTCTGGTTGGTGGCAACACCAGGAAACTTCTGATGCATTGTCCCCTAAAATCCACACTGCCATCTGGTGAGCTCCTGGGGGTGGGGGCTACTCCTGTTTCCCCAGTTCCCAGCAACTCATAGGCAGCCTTCCACAGGCATTTATCAAGTGAATGAAATGATGACTATAAACGTTTTAAAAGCGGAAGTTTCTGGTCTGTTTTCAGCTCTGCAGGAGGGAACACATTAAGAACACAACTTCCTGGTGAGATGAAAAGGCGATTGGGCTGGAAAATCCCGTGAGGGCACCGTTCTCTCTGTCTCTGGGGCTGACTTAAAGAGAAGCCGCCCTTTGAAACCCTTTCTGGAACCTCGTCTCTCTGCCCCGAGACAAAACAACGAAGCTGCCGCTCTCAGTTCAGAAAAGGCTCACAGGTATGTAAGGAGGTAGCTGGAATAAATATTGATTTTAAACACGGTAAGCAGGGAGTTATTAGAGCGTGACAAAGAAATCCTGTAGAACATGCACAGGAGGATGGCATTTACCTGGAAGTTACCCTGGTGGGATTCAAAGAGTCCAGGGAAGGTGAATTTGGGATCAGGCACAATGGGCATGAGGACCTTCTTAACTCTGAAATGGACACGGAGAGTCTGGTCAGGCAGGCTGGAGTCACGGCGCAAGGCTGTGGACTTTCAAGGGGCCGAGGATGGGGACACAATCCCCCCCCCCTCGGGGATGTGGCACCTGGATAGAACTGTGCCTTCATTCTCAAGGCATGCCCTTCCCCCCTCAACTCCCCAGGCACCTTGCTCCCATCATCCACCTGACATGTCCCACTGAGAAAGTGTGGGGTTACAGGGACAGAGCATCGTTCTGCACAATACCTATTGTAGTAAGTAAGTAACAGGGACTGTTACTTCTCTCTCCTGAACCAGTGGACTGAATGGTGTCCCCACAAAATTCATAGGTTGAAGCCCTAACCTTCCCTGTGACTTGTGTTTGGAGATTGGGCTTTTCGAGTGGTAATAATGAAGGTTACATGAGTCTTAAGGGAGGGGCCTGGCGGTGATCAGGATACGCTGCCCCAAAATATGCCCCCTGGACGGTTGATTATTTGGGGCTGATGGCTTTTAAGATAGAGGACACATAGAAGGAGCTCTCTGTTCCTCCGCACTTGCCTAAGAACAAGGCATCAGTTTCCCATTTTGCAATGGAAATTTCCATTTTGAAGGTGCCCCCCACCTCGATTACGAGGAAGAGAACAAATTTTATCACCGAGATCTTTCCACATAGACAACCTTTCTCTACTATTAGTTTTGTCTATACATTTCCTAGTCACCTTCCCAGAATTTACCCTCCTAGAGCTTCAGAACCCCTTTTCCTCTGCCTAGCCACTTCTCCACGATCATTACCCTTTGTTAAAGTGGCATAAAATCTCCCCAGACTAACCGCCTCTTTGGGTTTTCACTTCCTGTCTGGGACTCCTCCGTGCACGTAAAATTATGACATCAATAAATAAACACATGCCTTTTGTGCTGTGAATCTGTCTTTGGTCACTTTAATTCACAGGCCCCCAAGTACTGAACTGAAGAGGTTCTAAGCTACTATGCTCCTAATCCGATATGACTGGTGCCTTTCTGAAAAGAGAGCGCGATTACAGGGATGCGTGTGCTCACAGAGAGAGGGGACATGGGGAGAAGCCAGCGTCGACGTGTCAAGGAGAGAGGCCTCGGGGGCAATCAACCCTGCGCACACCTGGATCTCAGCCTCCCAGCCTCCACAGCTGGGAGAGGGTAAATGCCTGTGACTTGAGCCTCCCCATCTTTGGTCCTTTGTTATGGCCGCCCTAGGGCACCCATACCCAATATAGTTGACTTTTCACCTCTCGTTGCGAATAGGGGCTTCCCTTGAAGACAGGGCAAGCGTTAGTGTTTTCCAAGGGTCGTGCCCCTCGGTTTCCCTTGGGGGTGATTTCAGCTCTGTATTTAAAACACCATGCCTGCCACCGGTAGACACCCTCATCTGATTGCCTCCTTTCCTCCCTAGCAGAACACCGTTTTGGTGGCATCTATGTGAGCCGGTAAAAGAGAGGAGATGAGGCTGGAAAAGTCACGGACAACCTACAAGAACTACACGAAGCACCTGCGTGCTGTATCAGGCTCCAGGGGGACCCTTTGGAGTTGTCCGACTCACCCTATAGCACAGACCCAGCCTCAGTGCTCCAGGGTGGTGCTTCATCTTTCTCTACACATGACCCCCGCTGTCGCCATGGAAACCTCATCCTAAGAGACAAAGATGGTGCCCACTACCCTGGGCATCGGTACCCTCACACGTCATTGACAGCCAGACGCCTGGGCACAACGCAAGTCAGTTTACGTAGGGATGGAAATAGCGGTGGCTAAGTTGTTGTAGGGAAGGTTAGCAAAGAAAACTATTTAATACGATATTTTTGAGAAGCTGTCTGCGGGTTCAGAGAATATTGTGTTGGTATATCTGTCACTGGATTTAAGAAGCAGACAAGCTTCCCTGTACAATTCTTCTCACTTCCCCAACAAATCAGTTTGATCAGTCTCAATGACAACTGAAAGGTGTTTTAAGCACCTGTCACTCTAACATGGTAGGTGGACACACCTCAGCAGGGTCTGTGTTTGAAGCAAGCTAACCCTCTGGTAGGAGTTGACACTCATATATTCTACTGTCTCTACGAGAGTATTTCTCAACGAATACCCCAGGTATCCCTGCATTTTTTGGCATTATTTTCCTCTATTTTCTTGTAAGACACTGTTGGCGAAGTGTGCATTGTGGGGGACTTGATGCTCACCTCAATAACCCTATCAGATGATTCTCCTTCTCTTTTCCACTTTGTGGACATATGGCAACCAAAGCCCTCTCTCCCGTGTGTATGACAAGACTGGTGAGGGTCACCCTTACCTCCATACTTTCCATAAAGACAGAAGAAGAAGGAACACGGTCAGCAAGGCAACCGTGCCAGAAATTAAAATAAATTTTGGGAAAAGCTTTTTCTCCTGGCATGAATCTAAAGAAAAGAAGAATGAGTGCTGTCAGTTTTCAAGATGGTAGTAAATCAGGCTCCAACTCCCCATTTCTCTTCCTTTATAAATGGCAACGTCAGCAAATCTTGATTTCGGTGGGAAGTATCCCGGAAAGAGAGACGGTGTCTCTGGACAGGCACACATCAGGCAGCCACTGCAGGAGGTGGGTAGAGTCAACACACTGCTCCCAGGTACCTGAGTTGCCAGGGGTGTTTGAGGGTACTGAGGCTTGCTTTTGGCTATCACTTGTCTTCTGTATCTCTATCTATCTATGTATCTATCATCTACCTATCTATCCATCTATCTATCTATCTATCTATCATCTATCTATCCATCCATCT